CCGCGGCCCGGGTTCGATTCCCGGTCAGGGAACTCCCCCGGGCAGATGGAGCTCGTCAACCCTGTAAGGCCATCTATCTAAGAGAAGGTCACTCTAAACAAACCTACGTCCTGAGGACCTCACTGCCATTGTCCAAGCTCGCTTGACCCCGGCAGATGAACCTTAGGATTAAAGGGTGGGCTCAGTTCAGCGCATGCTGTGTCTCACCTAAAAAATCCATTGCGCAGGTTCAAAAGGTAAAAAAAAAAACCTTTCCCAAAATCTTCGTTCGTGAAGACTGACCATACAAAAAGTAGGCATTCTTTATTTAGTGTGCTGGGCTTTTGGAGGATACCTCCTCTCATCAAACGTGCTAAGGACAGATAGACAGGGCTTTTTCTTACACATACTGTTTTCAACAGAAACTCCGTGACATCCAGAACAATTGGTGGATCAATCTAGCTGAAAAAACTCAATTATGCGCAGATATGGGTGATCACAGAGGATTCCATGAGGCCCTGAAAACAGCATACAGGTCTACATACCAGGTCCAAAGCCCTCTACTCAGTGAAGATGGGCAAACGCTTCTGACAGATAAAACCTCCATTCTGAATCGATGGTCTGAACACTTTCAGAGTCTTTTCAGTACTAGCCATGTAGTCCAAGACTCAGCAATTCAGTACATCACACAACAACCGGTGAAGAAAGAATTGGATATTGCCCCCACTTTAGGAGAAACTCTTAAGGCCATACAGCAGGTGAAAACTGGCAAGGCAGCTGGGGTTGATGGAATTCCACCCGAAGTCTGGAAACATGGGGGCCAAGTACTCCATGCTAAATTTCACGAGTTTGTGGTGCACTGTTGGGAACTAGGCGAACTACCATCAGACCTTCAAGACCATCATCACTTTGTATAAGAAGAAAGGAGTTAAATCAGACTGTTCAAATTACGGTGGTATTACTCTGCTCTCCATTGCTGGCAAAATCCTGGCAAGAATACTCTTGAACAGATTAATACCCGCTATAGCAGAAGGAATTCTACCTGAAAGCCAATGTGGTTTCAGAGCCAACAGGAGCACCACAGACATGGTATTTGTTCTCAGACAACTGCAAGAGAAGTGTAGGGAACAGAACAAAGGTCTCTATGTAACCTTTGTTGATCTCACCAAAGCTTTTGATACTGTGAGCAGAAAAGATCTATGGCAGATTTTGGAACGTTTAGGTTGTCCCCCCAAGTTCCTTAAAATGATCATCTCACTCCATGAGGATCAACATGGCCAAGTCAGATATGGCAATGCACTTTCTGAGCCCTTTCTAATAACCAATGGTGTGAAACAAGGCTGCGTTCTTGCGCCAACTCTGTTTACAATCTTTTTCAGCATGATGCTCCAAAGAGCCACGGCAGACCGCGATGATCAGGACAGTATCTACATTCGATTCCTTACTGATGGAAACCTATTCAACCTAAGGCGACCGAAGGCCCACACTAAGACCTTAAATCATCTTGTCCGGAAGCTGCTTTATGCTGATGACGCCGCCCTTGTGGCCCACACAGAAGCAGCTCTGCAACGTTTAACATCCTGCTTTGCAGACGCTGCTGAGCTCTTTGGGCTGGAAGTCAGCTTAAAGAAGACAGAAGTCCTCTATCAACCTGCACCTCAGGAAGTCTTCCATCATCTCCATGTCACCATTGGCCAACCAGAGCTCAAATCAGTTCAGCAGTTTAATTACCTAGGCAGCCTTATCTCCTCGGATGGTAAGATTGACGGAGAGATAGACAACAGGTTAGCAAAGGCATATAGTGCTTTCGGAAAACTCCATAAAAGAGTTTGGCGAAATAAACACTTGAAGAAAAGTACCAAGATCAGTGTTTACAGAGCCATAGTGCTGTCTACTCTTTTATATGGTTCCGAATCATAGGTCATCTACCGCCACCACTTGCGACTCCTAGAATGCTTCCATCAACGCTGTCTCCGCACAATCCTAAACATCCACTGGTCAGATTACATGACTTATACGTCTGTTCTTGAACAAGCAGCAGTCACAAGTATTGAGGCCATGTTGCTGAGAACAAAGTTGCGTTGGGCAGGACACGTCTCAAGGATGAAGGACCACTGCCTCCCTAAGATCCTGCTTTATGGTGAACTTGCCACCGGCTGCCTCAAGAGAGGAGCCCTGAAGAAAAGATACAAGGACTCCCTGAAACAACATCTCAGACTTGGTCGTATTGATCAACATAACTGGTCTACTCTGACCTCCAATTGGGAGGCCTGGAGACACACTATCTATAACGCTGCTGGTTCTTTTGAGAACTCACGCAGGATCACTCTTGAGGAGAAAAGGCAACGCAGAAAGAATCGTGCCTTTCAGAATATACCACCTAAGGAGTCTTTCTGCTGTGCCTTTTGCAATCGGACATATCTATCTCTTATTGGCCTTATTAGCCACCAGCGTGCTTGTAATAAATGTGAATAGAACCTTTCCCAAATCTTCGTTCGTGAAGCCTAGCCATGATGATGACTGTTTACATATTCATTAGATATTCTCACTTACTTAATACATATTCATTACTCGGCTTTACATAGTCACACCCCTATCAGAAGTCCTTATTTGGTCTTTCCGGGTCTTCTTCTTGACCTCGGTTTTTGAGCCGGTACAGTGTCATTGTGTTTCACCACAAAAACTGTAATGTTTGGGGTTTTTTTATTTTATCTGGGTACAGAGAGCTCAGCTTACATGTTGTTTGCTTGAGTTACATACCTTATCTAATTCTCTGGGACTTCTCTACGATTATATTGTTCTTTATTTGGGCATGCCGGAATGCTGCGAGCAGTGTTTCTATTTCTCCTACCACCTCCCTGAAAAAATAGGGTAAGTTTGTGTTTTTTTCTTTTTCTAGGAATGCCAGCACCAACCCCCCTCCCCCTTCCTGAAAATCAAAGGAACCAGTTAGGAGGGAGGGGTGCTGTCAGCAGATTTACATGAGAAGGCTCACAGACAGCCAAGAAGATGTGATAATCACTTTTCTTTTAAACCCTTTTAACTTTTGGTTACTTTTGTGATATATGCAGGAACTGAATCAACACTCCATGAATTGTTCCTTCTTTTTTTTAATGTCTGGTCTATAGTAGGCCAAATTTTCACTTTTCTTTTTATAGGACCCTGCTAACAGATGAGATACAGCTGTGTAAAACCAATGGAACTTTTAACTGCCCCCATAATTGCTTGTATTATCAGTTTATTATTCTTGTGATTTGTTTTTGTTTTCATTGAGAGTGCCTTGTTGGGAGACCAAATATTGGTAGGATTATATAAGACAAACCATTTTATGTATTGTGAATCCAAAAAATCCGGTATAAGGAACTGCTCAGAGTCTTTTGGATCTTTGAGCAGCAAAGGTATTTATTGACAGCGTCGGGAGCAAGCCAGCTCGTGCTGGACAAACTTGCTCGAAGGCTTTACACAAAATCAACAGTTTTTATACAATTTTCATATATGATTAAATGCATATTCATGTGATTACATCATCTATCTATACATATTAATAACAGGTGGAGTATAGGTGGAACCCAGGCGGGGCTTGGGGTGGTGCTTCTCTTGGCCCTAAATTTTGGTGGTACATCCCCTCTTCCTCCTGTGGGTCTGGGGGCTTATTCTCATCTTCCTTGGTTTGATCTCCCTTCTCTTCTATTGTTCTCCACTCACTCACTGAAGCTTGGAGAAAGGTTTGGCTCCAGGCCTGTTTCTTCTATTCAAATGTCTACTTTATCTTACTGCATCTTAATTTATTACCTCTAGGCCTATTATATGTTTCTTTTACCATTCTTTGAAGTTTTGGACCAGTAAGTAGAACAGAATGAGCACAGATCATTTAGATGTTGGTAGCTGGTTAGCAGGCCCAGATTTCCCAGTTAACTCTTTTGGGCCTGGTTTCTTGTTTCAATTGTTAGTTTGATTTTTACTGAGTTCATTTTTTCTTTTTATGGAAAAAAATTAGTGTGGGAAAAGCTTTTACTTTTATCTTACGGATGGATACTTTTGTTTCAACCAATTGAGAATTGGAATATTCAATCAAATTTAGCCTGGGAGTTGGTACAAGAATTTATGCATATTTGGAATCATACGAATATGACATTACATATTTACACATTACATACCACAGTCTCAGTCAGTGGTAAGGCAGAAGACAGCTAAGCTCTATATAAATAAATTCTTTACTTGTATACAAATGCTTCATTTGTATTTCTTTCTCATAACATAATGAAAACAAAGTAAGACATGCACACATGAACTATGAACTTATTTGTTTTAGTTTGTTCTAAAAGGGCTTTCTTCTAGCTTGTTTTTATTTATTTTTATATTGGGTTTTGTTTAACCTATTCTTCCACTGTTTGAAAATGAAGATGGAAGAACAGTAGGTTTTATAACACAGTCATCAGACTATTGAAAAAAGTGAAAACAATTTTAATTTACAGTTTAAGTTTCTGTGAAAATTTAAGAGAAAACATTTGGGAAATGCTTGGGAAAACATAGTTAAAAGATAACATATTTAGCTGAAAGAATATAAAGGCCACAGTTAAACACATAGATGCCACACTTCTGTAAAGAATAGAAATGAATCTCGCAAATCCAAGCCTTCTCTCAGTGACAAGAAAACTCGACACTCCTCCTTCCAAAAGGGAAGGTACCGTCTGCAACAACTATCCTTTATGGGGAACCTTCCAAGAAAAAATTAATCATATTGTAATCATGACTCTAAACCATACCCATTGTTAGTGAGTGATAGCCATCCTGACACAAAATGCTAAACAATCCATACCCAGTCTCCTTAAAATTTAACAATTCTGGAGGAAAGGAAGTTTCTACAAATGCATATTATGACTTTTATAATTGATGGAATTTTACTCTAGTACTTATATAACAGGAGTCTGGAAAAAGGTACGGCAGACTTTTTTATTTAAGGATGGCTATGATTAAATTAGGGTAAAGGATTTTATAAAACAAGTTTTAGGATAGTTTACCTGCTTCTTAATTCCATAATCATCACATGCTTCAGCTTTCATTTTTTCAATCTTTTCTTCGTGCTGTTTTGCTTCTTTTTCATACATAACTTTTTCTTTTGCCAATCTGCAATTAAACCAAGTGATTGCGTTAATCTAGTTCAATTATGGTAAAAAGTTACAGCATTGAAAGCAAAAAAGAAAAAACCCTGAAAGCTGCAGCCCTATAATACACAGTTTTATCAAAAACAGACTCTTAACCACTGCAAAAAACTGCATCTAGGAAATGCTGAATTTAGCTGTAACGTGTTGAAACAGGAGCCAGGCCTAAAAGAGTTAACTGAGATATCTTGGCCTGCTAAGAAACCCCAATACCTGTTTTGCTAGAAGAACATTTTAGGAGCACTGGTTAATATCATGTTCTGTTCTGCTCACTGGACCAAAGGCCTTATTATAGAAGGAATAGGAGTAGTACACACACAGTAATAAAGTAGGTAAACTAGATGTTTGAATAAGATCTAGAAGGTCCAGAGCCAGGATTTTGCAAGCTTGAAGAATTCAGGTCACCTAATTGAAGAGGTCAAATTGAGGAAGATGTCCATGGCGACCACCAGAGGGATGAAGGCTTGAGGAGAAGACCCCCACAGTAGAAGACTGCACATGTCTGGAAAGACTCCGCCCAGAGACTAGCCTACTTATTAATATGTATGTTAAATGATGTAACCATGTATCTAAAGTGTATAAAATGTCTTGCTTTTGCACTTTCAAGTCGAGCAAGTTCTTTGTGATGCGAACCACTCTTGCTCCCGGAGCTGTCAATAAATACCTTTGCTGCTCAAAGATCCAAAAGTCTCTGAGCAGTTCTTTATACCGGATTTTTCGGATTTGTTTGGCAACTCGCAGCAGGACAATACTTCTCCACCCGGCTGCGGAATCCCTCGGAGGACGGGACCCCCTTTGGTGCCCTCGGGTAAGTTTTTTTACCCAAAGGGGCTCCCTTCTTCGGTGGCTTCTTGCGGGGGCTGGTCAAGAACACTGCCTATTGATAAAAGGTATTTATATCTGGTTTTGTCTATTCTGGTTCTGGTTATTCTGGTTCTGGATTCCCATAAGCCAAAGGTGGGGATACAGGAGAGGATGCTCTTCCTGGGGAATATCCCCTCTCGGCTGGTATGTTCTGGTTTTGTTTGTATTTGGCCAAATATTGTTTATTTTGAGGGAAACGAGGTATCTAAGTTTCCTTTTGGTTGTTCTTTTGTTTATGGTATTGGTTCCCTTAGGTTCATAACCACCCTATGAACTGGAGATTGGGGCACCACTATTGTGTTAATAGTTTTGTGTGTGTTTATTGTCATTTTGTGTTGTCTTCTTTGTTTTCGGAAAAGTTATTGTGTACCTGATATACCTTGCTTACCTTGAAACATCCAGGAGCACACAGTTAAAGGTATTATCATGCTAAGAATTGCTATATGGGAGGTAGTGCTGAAAAGTTAACTATAAACACACCACTTTGGATAAGACCTAGAATTAAGATCTGTCCATTTTGGAACTGTTATATGTACGAGCCTTGTGTAACAGATGTAAGGTTTGCCTCCCCAACAGAGGAGGTTGGGACAGAACCAGTGTGCGTATTGTAGAAAAGAGGGACACTGGAAGCAAGAATGCCCTGAATTAACAGGTGGAAATATAGGCACAGGAGGGGCTGTTGTTGCTTACAGAGCACTGAGTGAAGGGGGGGGCCGTCGGGTCTGCACCTAGGGGACCTGTTGGTAAAAATTACGCTAGGGGAAGAAAAACAAGAATCAGATTTTCTAATTGATACTGGGGCTACATTTTCTGTTTTGAATCAAGAATTAATACCTAAAAGTGATAAAGATGTTTAAGTCATGGGTGCCACTGACCAATCAGAAAAGCTTTCTTTTGAAACCCATAAAGTTCAAAATTGAAAAACAAATGGGAGTGCATCAGTTTTTGTATTTACCAAATTCACCCAAACCCCTATTGGGCAGAGACCTACTAGAAAATCTGGGAGCTGTAATAGAATTCAAACAAATAAAATTGAATTTAAGGTAAAGGAAGAACAATTAAGAGCAACTCTGAGTTAAGCAATGAGCTATGTGGAGCCAAGTCAGGATAATTCAAATGTCAATCAAATTTTAGATCCGGTATACCCAGGAGTTTGGGCTATTGAAACACCAAGAAAGTCTAAATGGGCAGCTACCATTCAAATAGAATTACAGCCAGGAACAAACCCAGTAATTAGGAAGCAATATGCACTGAGGCTAGAAGATAGAAAAGGAATTGAACCAATAATAGATAACTTCTTAAAATGGGGACTTTTTGTTGAGTGTGATTCAGATTTCAACACCCTAATTTTACCATTCAAGAAGCCAAACGGAACATATAGGTTGGTTCAGGATTTAAGAGCAGTAAATAAAATAGCTAAAACATACATGCAACTGTTGCAAACCTATATACCCTCTTAACAAAATTAAAAGAAAATCTAATTTGGTACACAGTATTAGACTTAAGAGATGCCTTTTCCCGCCTTCCCTTAACACAGGAAAGTCAAATGATATTTGCCTTCAAGTGGGAAAATCTCACCACAGGAAGGAAAACTCAGCTCATTTGGACAGTGTTACCTCAAGGGTTCAAAAATAGTCCCACAATTTTGGGGAATCAATTCACTAAAGAATTGGAACAATGGCAGTCACCACCGGGGGAGGGTGTACTTTTAAAATATGTGGATGATCTATTGATTGTTACAGAAAAACAAGAAAAATATATCCAATGGATGGTAAGCCTATTAAACTTTTTGGGCTTAGATGGGTATCGAGTGTCTCAACAGAAAGCACAGCTGGTGCAGAAACAAGTGGTGAATCTGGGATACGAAGTATCTGGAGGACAATGATCTCTGGGGACAACAAGAAAGGAAACCATTTACCAGACACCCAAACCACAGACGGTGCGACACCTTAGAGCCTTTCTAGGAATGACAGGTTGGTGTCGTTTATAGATATATCAGTATGGGCTAATTGAAAAGTCTTTATATGACCTGCTGAAAATAACTAAGGGCAACCTAGTCTGGACCCCCGAAGCAAGTGGAGCCTTCAAACAGCTGAGGCGAGAGCTCATGAGGGCTCCGGCGTTGGGATTGCCTGATGTAACGAACCCCTTTTGGTTGTTCTCGCATGAATGACAAGGAATGGCTCTAGGGGTCCTGGCTCAACAACTAGGAGCATATAAAAGAGCAGTGGCCTACTTCTCCAAGCAATTGGACGAAGTAAGCAAAGAATGGCCCACCTGCCTAAGGGCAGTAGCAACAATGATCATAAATATAGAAGAAGCCAGGAAATTTACAATGGGACAGAAAATGACTGTGTTAGTGTCCCACACAGTGTCTACAGTGCTGGAACAAAAGGGGGAACCATTGGCTGTCACCCTCCCAATTTCTGAAATATCAGGTAATCCTGGCTGAATCAGATGACATAACCATTCAGGTGACTAATATTGTCAACCCAGCTTCATTCCTAGAAGGAAGAATCTCAGCTGCACCCGTCGTGCATGACTGCCTGGAAACCATTGAAGCGGTGTACTCCAGCTGCCTGGACCTTAAAGAAGAACCACTCCTGGATGCAGAAGACTGGTTTACCAATAGCAGCAGTTTTGTAAGACAGGGTGTGAAGATGGCTGGGTATGCTGCAACCACCACTACTGAGGTAATCAAATCAAATCCTTTGCCCGCAGGAACCTCAGCCCAGAAAGCAGAACTGATAGCTCTCATTTGAGCTTTAGAATTAGCAGAAGGAAAACAAATCAACACCTGGACTGACTCCAAATATGCCTTTGACATAGTTCATGCTCATGGAGCAATTTGAAAAGAAAGAGGACTTTTAACTCTTCAAGGAAAAGTTGTGAAATATGCTGAAGAAACTCTACGATTACTAGAAGCTGTACAACTCCCCCTCAGGTGGCAATTATGCACAGCCGAGGACACCTGAAAGGTAGCGTTGTCCCAGAAATAGGAAACAGAAAAGCTGAATTAGCTGCTGCAAGAAGTAAAGAACTACCAGTAGCAGCTTTGGTGCCAGAAGGACTAGATGCAGATCAACAGGTAGAATATCAAGAAATGGATTATAAGTGGATACATGAAAATGGAGGAAAGCTGTTAGACAATGAGTGGGGTTAACTAAAAACAGGTCGGTTAATATTATTAGAAAAATTAATGTCATGCGTCGGGTGCTGGACCCCGTGGAGGTGGAGAGGGCAGCTTCGGAACACACAGAGGTTTGCCGTTCCAGGTTT